TATTGCGGATACTTATAACTTACGTGTCAAAAGTCAAACATAGTCTGCATTAGTATTGAGAAAAACACCACTTTCCCCTTGAAGAGGTAGAAACGTAGAAAGGATTTGATGTAATAACTCTGTAGCAAGTACTGTTCATATAAAAATAAAGTATATTTTGTTGCAGTGAGAAGAACTCTTGAACGAGATTGTCTCAATATTACTGTTTGTACTTTGGTACTAAAATGAGCATATAAAGACGTTTCATTATTTTTAGTTTCTTCTCTTTCTTTTACTGTAATCCATTTTGGCATTAATATTTATGAATGGATATTTTTCAGCATTTCATCTGGAAATTTAAAAAGTTGAAAAATCTGTAATTCAAAATAGTAAATACATTTTTAGTTTCCACGTTATCGTTCTATTATTTAGTAATCTTCTTAATTCATTCTTGATAGAGTGCGGCCTGAAACTTTGCAGGTTGGATAGCATTTAGTCGATTGCACTAGTTGAGTTGTCTACTGTTGATATAGGCGAAGTACCGGGGTTAATAACATGGGTTTGAAGATGGTATTTCGGACTGCTAAATTACGTGTTATTTTATGTGTGCTATTTATTTTTGAACACATTGCCGTTGGAAATGGAGAAGTTTTGAGGCCAAGAGGAGTTTCTCTTTCAAGTAAGTGTTATGTTGTTTAATTTATGGCTGATGCCATTACCTTCAAATAAAAATAAGACATCAACTTCAACTAGCATAATGAGTGAAATGACTTAAAGTTAAATACTCCTGAACTTGGCTGAAGCCTAAGTTAGAAATGATACTGTTGATGTTAGGTTTTACTACAAATGTTTAGTAGATTCCACTCTTTGAAAACATTCAACTACGAGTTTCTGGATCACTCTAAATATCTGATTGAAAATGGAGAAAAATTTTAATTTTAATGATTTCCGTCAAAGTTAGCCTAGTTAAACTAAGTATGTTTGCGTTTCACACATAAGAGTGAAATAGATAAGTTAGATCTAGGTACTCATGGTTGCATTAATACACTTATTTTTTAATAAATACAATTACATATTTATTAATTAAATTATAAGTGAAATAATCAGAAGACATCATGTATAAGTTATTGTTTACTGAAGAGGAGTTAGGTGAAAATTACATGTACTTTTGTAGGATATAGAAATATTTGAAGATGATAGGAATAATCAGATGCAATCAATAGACACTTTTACTCAAGTGATTCATTTCTGTACTACTAATAATACAAGTAAAATAATACCAAAATTGAATAAAATTACAGATCACAGTGAGTGAACTAATGTTCATTTAGATTGAATCTGTGATATTAGGTTGACTGATGAAAAATTTTTGTAACTGCATATAACTTTAAGGAACAGCAAGAAAGGTCTTGCTCTGTTAAAAACTGAAATTTTGACATGATTAACCGAGTTTAAGAAAAGGGACTAAATACAATGTTAATGTAAAATCAATATTTAGCACATAAGTCAAAATATTTAAGTGCATGGGATGCCAAACTGCACTTCTATATACAGAAAGAGATTTGTGTATTCTCAGTCTATTCTTGATATATATCTGTTCCAGTCTGATAAAAGCAATAATGCCCCTCTCAGAGCACAGGCATTATCACTGGTCATTCCACAAGTGAAAATAAGGAAAACCAGGTTAACTCTAGAAATTTCTAAACTTAGACAATGTAATATTGCTAAAGACAGGAGATACAAGATTACACATAAACCATGAGAAAATACAAAAGTGTCTAAGTAGAATATACACTCTTTGACCGTGTGCATCTAGCATATGAAATAAATTCATGACTGTGATTAAAGTAATTTTTATTTTTCAAAGTTTCTTGAAGTAAAAAACATGGTACTTTCTCAATTGCTACAAATCAAAATACTGATTGATGTGTGAAAATGAATGAAAATTAAAATAACTAGCAGTGGTGTGAAATTTGTATTGCCTGATACATGAGGCAACATGTTTACTGTTTTACAAGTGGACTAGTGTTTTTTTACATTGTTTACTCTGTTACTAGATTTCCAGGTAGCCATGCAAATTCCCAAAAATTCTGATTGCAGAACTCTAGCACATGTGCACAAACATTAAATAATGCATACCTCTAAACCTCAAGCTAAAACTATATACATAAATATACATATTCCTTAACTTCACAAAACCTTGGTCACACCCACAGTAACATGCATATCTTATTGTTTTCTCTTGAAAAAAGAAGAGTTACAGGGGATCTGATATAAGTGTTTAAGATTGTAAATCTTATAGAAATTTTAAAGGAGTAAATTAAGAAATTTATTGTAATTACATAAAACTGGATGTTGAATTATTTTCACTAGATAATTTAAAAGAACTCACTAATGAGAAAATTACTTTACAACACTGATGTCAGAAGTGGGTTATTATTTCCATTAAAATAAAATAGGAATTTGAATATGCTTGAAATAGAAATTTTCCTGTTGAAGATGGTGACCACAAGGTCAAGTAGTGAGCTTCAAGTGCTACTTGAAAATTTGAGTTGATGATATAATTAAGACAACACTAGGAGGAATGAGACAGAAAATTTTAAGAAGACCAAAAAAGAGCAAGACAAACTTAAAACTAAGAGGAAATTTACATAAAATTAAAAGAAGAACAAGAGGAAAGATATAAAGGTAAAAGAAGATCAGGAAGAAGTTTACAGAAAATTAAAAGAAGACCAAAAGGAATGTGACAGGATATTAAATGTAGACAAAGAAGTAAAAGACAAAAATTTAAGAGAAAAGTTAAAAGAATGATGTACTGTTTAAGAAAAATTTAAAAACAAAAAGAAGTATGATTGAAAACAAGATTGATGAAGCTATTGGAGATGTGCAGAAGGGTTACAAGTTTGAAATACAGAGAGGCTGTAGTGATAAAACTGAATAAGTAGAGAAATACATTGACAAGTTAGAAAAGAACATCAGGGACAGAATAAAACATCTAGAAAGTGATTTATTAAATGAAAAGATTAAACCAGCCACACGTCTTTCTGCATCAGCTCAAAAGTTCCAACCTAAAACATCTACTACAATATTTGGAATAGAACTTATTTAGTCTACACCTGTGCCACTACTGCTGTAGCCATTGTTACTGAAGGACCTTCCTGGACTGCTACAGAATATAACACTACCAATTCTAGTTCCAGAGTTTAGCTGGTTAATGTGATATCAGTTAAGAAACCAGTAGACCATGATGAGAAGGTACCATGGAAATCATACCAAGCTCACTTTCAAATAATTTTCAGTGAATGTGTGGAATGGTGAACAACAAGCCATCCATCTTGCTGCTCACCTAAAAGGACCATCTGAGAGCCGTAATAACTATCAAGTATTGGAAGCCACATCATCCATTGGGTTTGGAGTGTTGCACCAAAAAGAAGAATGCAGAGAAAAGTTCCAGAACAGGGTATGGAGGAAAGAAGAGACCTTAGCTGAACTTGAAGAGGATTTGAAAAGGCTTTCTCAAATATCTTAAACAGCTGCCCCTTGTGAAATATATTTGTTGGCATGACCAATTTATAGATACTATAACAGACAAGGATATGAGGTTCTAGATGAAGCAAAGTAGATTCACATTCTTAAAGAAAGAACCTATTAGGGCTTCAGATGAGCTAATAAAGGCACCATATAGATGTTACAAGGATATCAGATCCTGCAGTATCAAAACATCAACTTTCATAACAAAAATGTAGAAGATCAAAAATAATCAATCAGGTGGCTATTTAAACACAAAAAGACAAATAAACCACAAGATAATAGATGTTTTAAATGTCACTTGAAAGGACATATTACCAGGAACTGCAGACAAAAACCTTTATGGAATAGTAGTTCTTAAAGGATATCAAAAAGAGGTAATTATGACCATTGTGGCCATTATGACTGGGATTGTAAGGGATACACAGCTGTTATCAAGCCTTGGAGAAATAGACCAATCAGATCAAAGAAAAATACACAAGTAACAAGGCATCAAGAAGGCAGGAATTAGTTGGATTTATGAAGTGAAGTTCAACTGGAAATACTCCATCTACATGTACCACAAATAAGAAAAAGTTAATATTTTGAGGAAAAATCATCCACAACTACATGGGCTTTTTGATGAGAAACCTTGCAGTATGCTTATTAACACTATTTCCACAGTTACAGTTGATCATTGCAACTTGTTAATGAAAGTTGAGAAATTGCCTCCAGAGATGGAGAAAAAGAGGATTTGATGCAAACAGGAAGTGGGCATAAAGTTCCAGAAAAAGAGAAGTTGGATATAAAGGGAAAAGGCTTTTAGTAGGAATTTGTTACAGACCACTAAATGATACTGATAGAAATAGTGAGAAACTTTACAATGAGATTAAGATTTCAGCTGTTAAGAAGGTCATAATTATGGGTGATTTTAATTTCATGCTAGAGTAAAACCATGAGGGAGAAAGGTTTTTGGAAAGTGTTCAAGATTGCTTTCTTTACCAATTAGTCAAGGAGCCTACTAGAAACAATGCTGTTTTAGATTTATTGTTAACTTCAAATATAGAAATGATCGAGAGAGTGGAAATTGTGGAACATCTGTTTGCAAATGATCATTGCTAAATTAGGTTCAATGTTTTACTGCATATGGAAATAAAGAATAATGATATTTTGGTTACAAATTTCAAGAAAGCAAATTTTGAAGGGATGCGACAAGAATCATCTGTTGTGAATTGGGCAGCTGAGTTATGTGGAGACACTGATCAAATGTGGAAAATTTTCCAAGATAAGTTTTTAAATATTCAAGGTAATGACTGGTATGACAGGAGATTTAGAAGATCAAGAAAGTTTGTGAAACAGGAAATTAGGACATCAAAAACGATGTAATAGAAAAGTTTGGCTGAAAATGTAAACATTAACAGTAAGGATTTCTTTAAATACATTAAGGGTAAACAAATGTTAGGATGGGGGATAGGACCTTTGAGGGATGATGAAGGAAGGCTCGTATCTGATGATTATGACATGGCCGAGTTGTTAAAATTTCTTTTTCTTTAGTTTTTAATAATGAATATTTAAGTAATATTTCACATCTTGAACAGTTGACAGATGGAAACAAGATTACTGCATTAATTCTGAACTCGTTAAGAAAAAATTGGGTAGTTTAAAGAATAATATAAAGATTGGATATGTTAGCCACTTGTTTTTTTGTCAGTCCTTGAATATTGGGCAGGTACCAGAGAATTGAAGTTAGATAATGTAACTCCTCATTTCAGGGGAGGTGTTAAAAATTTTCCCAGTACTTATAGACCCATTAGTCTAACATCAGTTGTAGGAAAAGTTTTGGAAAGTCTGATAAAATCTTGTCTTACAAATCTTTTGACATTCTTTGAAAAGGTTACTGCTTATTGTTACAAGAGCGGAAGTTACATGATGCTGGCGTATTAGCACTGCTAGCGTGTGTGATGAGTTTCTCGAATGATCGGGGAAGTCCCAGATGTCCTCTTCATTAGTATATAAGACTGGCAGAGAAAGCCAGCAGATATGAATGAAGAGAGATCAATAATTACTTTGAGTTCTGTGCAATTTATGATTCTGTTAGTTTCGAGCTAGTGAGCCGTAAAGTGTGTGTTTTGCACTCGTCGAGAGTGAAATTATCGAGATTGTGAATCTCTGTGATTTATAACGTGTATTATAAAACTTGTTAAATTTAAAGTGAAGAGAAATGTACTGATTGTGAAATTACTGTGTACTAAAAGTTTCTGTCGAGAATCAATAAACTTGTTTAATCAAGGAAGGGCTTGTTTGGCTGAAAATCCTTGGAAAGAATTTCTACCGGAAACAAACAAATGAGCAGATACGTAACAAATTGGTGTCAGAGAGTGGGATGGAAAAGAAAGAAAAAAAAAAGATTGAAACGAGAAGTGGCAAATCAAACTACAACTCAGCAGATTTGATGGCAGCAATACAAGAGAGATTACAGCAGTTGTTGGAGGAAAAAGAAAAAACAAGAAGAATGAGAAAAGAAACAGGAAGAAAGTCTCCAACAGTTGCAGGAAGGTCAGCAGCAACTACAGGAAAGTCAGCAACAGTGGCAAGAAGAACAAGGAGAGAGAGAGAGAGAGAGTACAACATCAGCATGAAGTACAAATTGAATAGATTAGTAAATTTCAAAGTGAATGAAATACATTAAAGGGTGATTTACTGTATTTTACACAGGGAGGATATATTAGCTATGGACATAATCAGCCCCAGATAACAGGAAGTCCCTTCCAGACCCTGCAGCTAAACCCTAATGCAAACATCTTCAGTTCTGCCAGTTACATTCTAGACATGAGTTTCAGCAATAGGGGTGATCTAGTATGAAGGAAGCCACAGGAAATTGATGGAAGCATATAGAGCACAGTTTGAGCTCCTGGCAGAAATGAATGGATGGACTGAAGAGCAGAAAGCAGTGTACCTGGCAACGAACCTGAAGGGACAACCACTGGAAATACTTGGACAGTTGTCAGCAGACGACAGGAACAACTATAGAGCACTGGTAGCTGCTCTAGAACTCAGGTATGGAACTCAAAATCAGTCTGAAGTCTACAAGGCTAGGTTTAGGACAAGAGTCCATGCTAAAGGGGAGAGCCTGCAAGAGCTGGCACAGGATTTGTAAAGTATGGCACACAAGGCCTACCCAAATGCACCACCCGCTGTTCTCAAGTTGTCGCTGAGGGATCAGTTTATGGATGCCTTGGACAGTCCACAACTGAAGATACAAGTGAAGCAAGCACACCCCTCTACTATGCAGGATGCAATGGCCAGAGCTCTTGAATTCGAATCCTACATTAAGACCAGCACATAAGTACCAAGGTTGGTACAGTCATCAGGATTCAAGGCCAGAAAAGGGCAGCTTTCAGAGAGGTTTGAGGGACTTTGCTGGCACTGTAACAAACCTGGGCACAAGAGAGCTCAATGCTGGCAACTTCAATACAGGGGAGATGCCACAGCAGGAAAGGCTGCTACCCAGAAAGGTTGTTGGAACTGTGGAGAGCAAGGACATATGAGGAGCCAGTGTAAGAAGAATACCACCAATAAGTCAGCTTCGGGGAAACCAGTAGTGGTTGGTTTTGAGGGACACCCACCAACCCCCTATCATGTATGTTAATTAGCATCATTTGTAATGTAGGCTTACAGCAAACTTATGGAAGTGTGCAAGTGTTCAAATTTTTTAGAAATGTTAAAGGAGGAAATAAAGTAATTCATTATTGTTATGTAGACTGGACTTTGAATTATTTTCACTACACAAGTTAAAGAACCTGACAAAGAGAGAAATACATTTCTACGGTATTGATCTAGTATACTTGTACTACTTGTGTTAATGTCCCCTTTGCACCAGGATTTTAATTTTACAGTTAGAACAATTAGCATAATTTCAATTCAGTGTTAATGAATGTGTAATGTTTTTCATTTATTACTGTTTTCATTGAAAAAATATTATAAAATTTGCATTTTAAAATTTACTTGTATTTTTAAAATTTTCTTCACTCTTTTCAGATTGTTATTAATTTGCCAAATGTCTACAGCCATTTTACTTTCTAATGCACTTTATTCCTTAAGAAGATACATGCATTTTTGGTTTATTAGAAATTACAGTTTTTCATGATTTTCTATTATTATGTAGCTTTAACCTAAAAAAAAGCTTGTATTTTAACAACAATATCAAATATTGAGTGATTTTTGGGTTACAGAATTTGTTTTTAATATATTAAGTAGCATTACATTGGTGTATCAAATGATTTTTTATCGCTTGTTTGTTCTAATGAATGACAATTCTTAGCAGTTTATAAAATGGATTAATAAAAAAAACCACTGCTGAATTCAAAAGTGTTAAAAACATTTTCTCAAAAAATTCATTTCATTTAAAAAAATTTTGGTATTCTGTTGTAGTTTCTCACCATTTTAAGCTCTATTATGTAAGTAATGCAAATCAGATATTTTTGAGAATGTTTTGTAAAAAAAAATATGTACTTAATTTTTCAGAGAAAATATTTTATGATCCACGCAAAGAATTTACCTGCTTAGATGGTTCTGGAACAGTTCCTTTTAGTTTTGTAAATGACGACTATTGTGATTGTGAAGATGGATCTGATGAACCTGGTGAGTTATGTGTGTTATTAATTCTTCCATATGTTGTTGAAAATGGTGTCATTTTGTGTTTTTCATATAAATTTACTGATGTTTGGTTTCAAGTATATCCTATACAGGCCCGCCGACACAGGGGGCAACTGCCCAGGGGTCCCGGGCGAATGAAACCTGGTTATGCTGTAAAACCCGC